TAATGATAATATTAATAGTAATTAATAATAACAATAATAAAAATAACAATAATGATAATGAAAATAATGTTAAAAATGGAAATAACGGATATATTGATAATGATAATCGTACATTATATATATTATTATAGATTATCTTTATATAATATAATTATTATATTATTATAATATATTATCATTCGTATACCGTTATAATATATAATCGAAATATATTATTATTATTATATCATTATAATATGTTATGAATAGTAACAACATTGACGATAGAGTATGAATAACAATAATGGCCGTAACGATAATAATAGCAATCTTTTCATACCTCTCACTTCCATAGCCTCTCTCCACTGTTCCAACCACTGTTCTACTTCTTCCTTCGTTTCTGCACAAACCACCACATCATCAGCAAATAGCATGTCCCATGGAACCTCTCTCTGTGCTGGGGCAGTCAGGCGGTCAATGATTACTGCAAACAGGAAGGGGCTAAGAGCCGATCCCTGGTGGAGCCCCACTGTAACCTCGAATTCCTCAGTACCACCAGCTGCACATCTTACACGTGTCCTACGTGTCCGTATACATGTCTTGCACTAATCTGATGTATTTCTCCTGCACCTCTTTCAGACGCAGACAGTTCCACACCTCCTGCCTTGGAACTCTGTCGCAGGCCTTCTCCAGGTCGATGAATACGCAAGGTAGTTCTTCTTGACCTTCTCTGTACTTTTCCATAACTTGCCGCAATGCAAAGATTGCATCCGTTGTGCTTCTGTTGGGCATGAAGCCAAACTGATGATCTGATATTACCACCCTGTTTCGTAGTCTTTTATCTATAATCCTCTCCCACAATTTCAGTGTATGTGAGGTAAGTTTGATGCCTCGATAGTTGCTACAGTCCTGGATATCTCCCATGTTCTTGAAAACTGCTCTCCATTCGTCTGGCATCTGCTCTGTCTCCATGATGTTTTTGAACACTTCTGTCAGCCACTCAACTGGTGTTTTCCCCATAACCTTCCATGCTTCCACTGGTATGTCATCTGGTCCCACTGCTTTCCCTCTCTTCATTTGTTTCATAGCTGTTACTACTTCCTCCATTCTCACATCCTCCTCTGCCGCTTCTATCTATCTTTCTTCCCTTGGGTTCTCTACATTCATCAGTTGTTGGTAGTATTCTTTCCACCTCTCTCGTATCTGCGTGTCATCTGTCAGTACCTGGCCATCATTTTTCACTCTTTTTTCCTGGTACACATCCTGTGAGTCTCTATTCTTCTGCTTCGCTATCTTAATAGCTTTCCTTTGTCCTTCTTCTCCTTCTAGGCTGTTGTACAAATCTTCATATGCTTTACTTTTGGCTTTCGCCACTTCTTTCTTCGCCTTCTTACTTGCAATTTTATAGGCTGTGATAGTCTCCTCACATCTATTTAGGTCTCTTTCCCCTTTTTTTCTCCTTCTTCTCCTTTACTGCTTCTTGTACTTCAGTGTACCACCACGTCTCTTCTTTCTTCCCTTCCTTACCAGAAGTACGTCCTAGTATCTCTTCTGCAGTTTCCCGTACTACTGTGCTCAATTCACCCCATGTTTTCTCCTCCTCCTCTCCCAGTTCTGTCTCTCCTCTCTACGTAAATTTATCCCGGTGTTCCTCATCGTTCAACTTCCACCAGCGTGTTTTCCTTGTACCAGTCTGCTTCATTTGTCTATGTTGTTTCATCTTTACTTTGCAGACCACCAGCTTATGCTGTTTGGCCACGGCCTCCTTTGGTAAGACGTAACAGTCTTGAACCTTTTGCAATTCATTCCGTCTGCACATGATGTAGTCTACCTGTGTGTTCTGTCCTCCGCTAGTGTATGTTACTCGACGAGTCAGTCTTTTCTGGAAGTAAGTGTTGACTATGGCCAGGGTTTGTGCTATTGCAAAGTCCACAATTTTGTCGCCTCCTTCATACCTTGTCCCCACTCCATATCTCCCAGTGACTTCTGTGTCTCTGCTTCCTTCTCCAACGTGTCCATTTAGGTCACCTGCTATCCATACTTCCTCACCTTTTGGTACTTTCAACATTGTATCTCCCAGAAGATCCCAGAAGTCATCTTTTTTTTCATTTGTACACCCCACTTGAGGAGCATACACACATACAAAGTTTACTGTTGCCTCTCCTATTACAATCTTTAATCACATCACCCTGTCGGACTCTCTATTAACCTGGGTGACCCCCTCTTCATCTCTGGGCTTAGCACCACCCCAACATACTCCTGTTATCCACACCCATGTAGTACAACTCATAGCCTTCTCCCAGTACCCTGGCTTTCTGTCCTTGCCACCTTGTTTCTTGCACACAGCACGTCGATCTTCTTCTCCATCACACCGACTATTTCTCTCCCCTTTCCTGTCAAGTTCAGCATTGCAATCACCAATGTTCTGTCCTCCAACTGTCTCTAACTGTCCTCCTATCTCTCCTCTGAGCTAATTTTTTTCAGCCTTATCAGCTCTTGATAAGGTAGCCGTCGTCCATTTTCCACAGCTGTACGGCGGTATTGCTGCGCATCGCTTGCGGGGAATGCCGTAGCATGATCTCTATCCTGAATTATCCGCATCTCATATTTTTGGCTATTTTTTTTTTTTTACAGACCGGGTGCCCTTCCTGCCATCCAATAAAAATAGCAATAATGACGATAA